GGCGAAGCGCTGCCGGTGAAGCGGACGGGGGAGCTTTGGCTGAGAGGGCCCACCATAATGAAAGGTAAAAAATGGCAAATGGCCGACATGATTTTACCCAATTTGACACGTGGTCCTTGTTCGGTACTGCAGTATTTGATATTTGTTTCGTTCAAATAAATCCAGAAAAGAAAAGTTAAATTAAGTCTTTAATAATTGGAGCAATGTAACGGCAAATTACGGATTTAGACAAAAAGGGCGGAAAAGTGATTGTGGCTTTGGTTGTTTTGTTGCAGGGTATTTTGGTAACGTGGAGGCCACGACCTCAACACTTGACTCGGAGGGATGGTTGAGAACTGGAGATCTGTGTTACATTGATGAAGACGGTTTTATTTTTGTGGTTGATAGGCTTAAGGAACTCATCAAATATAAGGGTTATCAGGTAATTTTGATTCATATTGTTTTTAATTTTCATTTTTTTACCATCGTAGATATATATATATATATATATATATATATTGAAAACTATTTATTAAAATATAATAATCTTTCTCTCTCTTGTATTGCATTTTTTCTCTTCATGCTTACAAAAAAATTAATGAGGGTCCAGAGGAATCTCCAATTGGCTATAGATAGCTACATACAATAAAAGTTTGTTTTATTTTAATGAGAAAAATTATAGAGAACATGCTCGTTCGCATATATATATATATATATATATATATATATTAATGTACATTTGTTTATTTTGTTTGTTTAATGTTACTTTCAGGTCCCTCCTGCTGAATTAGAGGCTTTATTACTTACTCATCCTAATATCTCTGATGCAGCTGTGATTCCGTAAGTTCAATTTTTCCATGGATCTTAGTTTTTTACTTCAATTCAACCAAATGCTTATAAAAATTTTAGTTAATTCTATAAAATGTTTGTTACTTAATTAATTTTTTGTTTTACACATGCCAGAAGAAAAATTTTATAAACCATTTGAATTGTTTAATTCAAGGGAGTTAAATAATAACAAGAAAGAATCAAGAGCCACCTTCAAACTTCAAGACTCTTTCCTTTTTTAATAATTTGTATTTGTATTTTTTTCTCTTTCGAAAAATTAAATCTAAGGCAATGGCCCCACATGATTGGGATCTTTTGAATAATAAAGTTGAGTAGGTTGGGATAATATGTTTTATTATACCATGGATTGTTTATTCAAGGAGCTAAACAGACACAGCAATAGAATATTCAAAAAGTATATAATTTGTGATATATATATATATATATATATATATATATATAATAGAGTAAATAAATAAAAATATAAATTGATAAAGAAAGAGTGGGTTCCTAAAAAAATATACTAAAACTATATATATAGTTTTAGTATATTTTTAGTTTTAATATATATATATATATATATATAAATATGAGTGATGGTTCGAACCTTCGAACTTTTGTTCGAGAATATATGTGTGAGCGTTGAGCTGCTCAAATTATAATTGTAGTTGTTTTGTTCTCTTTTTTCTAATATAATGTAATTTTAAGGATATAAAAAAGGCGAGTTTCAAAACAATTTAAAATGAAGCTGACTTTGATTAGGAGATCATATGTTAGATGGACATCTATTTACAAATGTCTTACGAGTATCATGCATAGGTTTGTTGACTATTTTTTAAATTAAACACTCACTAATTTCTCAAAAAATAAAATTAAATTAAACGCTCACTAAAAATACTACTTTTCAAATTCCGGTGAGTTTATTTATTTATTTAATATTTGTTTGTATTTCAGGTATCCGGACAGAGACGTTGGACAGTATCCAATGGCGTACGTTGTGAGAAAGGGTGGAAATGAC